AAAATAAACGTCTAAAGGCTGAAGAAACACTGTTATACCAGAAGGCAACGTTTATAAAATTATCTCTTGTTCATGCCCTGCAAAGATCTGTAATATTTTGATCTGTAATTTAATAGGCATATTTTAAGGTGTTGCGACCGTAATTTTTGATCCAGAATGCACTACTCGCTGCTAGAAAACGGATCCAGTATCATGGAATTCTTTCACGATTCTCGCAATAGCACGTTCATCTGGAATAGCATCAAAGTTTTTCTATCCGAGAAATTCTCTTATAGCTTTTCTTGCAGCTCCAAGTGACTTGTTGTTGAGCCAGTATTGTTCTACTGTATGAATTTTCAATCTTTGCACCAAAGGCAAATTCGGTTGAGCTGATTTTGAAGCTTGTGGTTTCATCGCTAATATGTTATTAAAGGCAACTTGAAAAGGCACTATTGATACAAAATATTGCAGCACAATTGGAGGAGTTGCAGAAACAATAAAAAATGCAAAAATATGTGTTCACTGATGTGAAGGAAAAGGGGAGGGATTGTGAAGTGGAATGTGTTTCTCCTCCATTCAAGATTGTTTTCTGCAAAAAGATCCTGATAGGTGCAAAAATAAAAAAGTTATTAAAAAAATACAGGCTGACATGTTTTGTGGCTGACCCTGAATAATAGGAATCGCACTCTTCTAAAAGTATGGTTTATTGATTTAAAAGTGCGTTCAGTATCAGCGTAAGCAATAACTCGTTGGATATAATCAAACGTGAACAATTCATTAGAGATACACATAGGCTTTTTGGCACGTACTCTAAATCTTTTTCTGATTCATCGAATATAAGCTCATTGAATTGCTCTGTTCGAGCAGAGAACGTCCCATCAAAACTGCAAAAATCAGGTTAGTCAGAGTATCCGCTAATTTATCATCGTCTTTGTAACAATCACGCCGATTAGCGGGTAACTTTTTACGGATTTTGTTATGAAATTCATCTGTTGATAAACTCATGGTGTTAAAAAGCACAAAAAATAGACAATAAGACTGATAAAACAGAGCCTTAGCTTATAGTTTCTACTTATAGTTTAATAGCACTTAGAGCCAAAAAGTCGTTTCCCTCTAAATAACATTCGATTCCATTTTCTGAGAGTCTAAACCTATTCAGATTGGTTGATTTTTGTTAAAAGTTGAAATCTCGCGACGTTGAAAAGAGAAATGAATTTTTCCAAAACAAATTTAGCTAACCAATATTATGATAAACACTCACTTACAACGTGACAAATTGAAACCGAACTACTTTGAGACAATTTTTTTAATGAAAATCTAAGGGTACAGGGGTGAGCTTAGCAGCAAAATAATCACAACTTAATGGGTAATGTTTCAAAGTGACCACCATCACTTTGTTTGAGGTATTCAAAACGACGCAAAAACCCATTTATAACGTTTTGGCGCATTTGTTGGGTGATGCTTTTGGACGCTTACACTATCGATATTTGAAGCTCTTTCAAGTCTTTTGGCTCTGATGCGTAAACTCTGTCCTTCATAAAGCCCCAGAGAAAGTAGTCGCATGGATTCAAATCAGGTGAGTATGGAGGCCACCTAATTCCCCCACCCGAAAAACGAAGGAATCCGAGGGCGATTCTTCGAAGAAACTATGCAAAGTTGGAAAGACTTGACTGGTCCTATGAGGTGTGGCTCCATCCTGCATAAACCAGTGGGTATTCTTAAAACCCTTTCGACGGACACATGGCAGGAACTTTTCTGTCAACAATTTGTTGTAACTTTCCCCTGTTACGTTGTTCGTGAACATTTCTTGATAAAATCAAAAAAAAATCGCAACCCAGACAGTTACACGCACAGGATGCAATAAATTTGACCTTGAGAAATCTGGTCGCTCTGTACCCCAAAAACGAATATTCTGCTTGTATATGTAAATGTTTGTCCAAGAAGAAATGACTCTCATCCGAAAAGATTATTTTGTTTACAAGCAGAGTTTCATCGTGGATCAATGGAAAAACTTTTTCTGCGAAGGCCATCCTTTTTTGTTTATGGTGCTCTTCCAGCCTTTGATGGCATTGAATTTCATATGGATGCAGCTCCAGAAACTTTCTCAAAATTATCCGTAGACTTTCACGGTTCAAATTGAGCACATTAGCAGCCATCCGAACCGATTCATTTGAATTTTTACTAAAATATTCTTCAATGGCATCCAAAGTTTCGAGCGGGGTCACACTATAATCAGGGCCAGGATTCGAACCGCGTCTATCATCCAATGTTGCGTGCTCCAGCCACTTATAGATAGCTCTGAAAATTAATTGATAAAAGTTGTGGTTACTGAGAAAATTCAAACAAAAATTTTACAAAAAAGTCAAAAATTTTAAAAATTCATTCTTACCTCTTTAGAGCTGAGGTCTACATGCTGCAGTAACTGATTTACTTTTAGTGTAATATGCCTCGATGAGGTAAATTTTCTGCTCAACAGTTAAATCAGTCATAACTGAAAGAATATTTTGTTATAAAAATAATCAAAAACAATTTTGCATTGAACTGGCAGGTTAAAACATCAAAAGATATCGCTAGTAGCGAAAACCCCGCTAAATTTGAACCTGAAGTAGTTCGGTTCCCATTTGTCAATTGTACTTTGGCCAGTACTAGTTTTCAACATGTAACAAACATCAAGTAAAAGTAATAGTAAAATTCAGCACTCTCAGAATATGACCTATCAATTTCACTTAGAGGCAAATAAGAATTTGCCCTTGAATGAAATCGAGCATTCGATCTTATGGTTTTTCAACCTGTGAAAGTCCATGTTTCGAATCTGAAATCTGAAATCTCAACCGTCCATGAGTTAGCACAACAGGTGTACAGAATAAAAAACACCCAGGACATTTTTATGCATAGTCTGATTTCAAGCTAACTATACTGCAGTTTCAGTTAAGGCAGACACAGATCGTCCCACATAGACACATACCGTACCGCTAATATCATTGAGCATGAATATTTACACAAAGCTCCATATCAGTCAATAGTGTATGTTATTGCATTTACAGATAAATGATGAGTTAAGTTGTTATTAAATTGGAAGCAAAAAATAGCAGGTTTGGTGGTTGACGATGAGGAAAGAAGACAAAAAAACTAAACTAAAGTTTCACCATGTTGATCATCATTCATTAGAAGACATTCAATGATAACAAAGGTTTTCCTTTGGTTATGACTGTTAGAATGAAAAAGAGTCAAAGAAGATTGTTTTCTTGGCTTGAGAAGATCATTTTTCAAAATTTCAATTGAGAAAAGAAAGAAAGAACAAGTTTCACATTTTTCTTTTACCCAAATTTGGGTTTCATTTGATTTCCTTCTCAAACCTTAAGATTGAAAAGCAAGAAAAATAGCGAGAAAAATTCAGAGATGAAAAGGATTATCATTATTGTAATGATGAGAAAACAGTGGAAAAATATTGAACATCTTTTCATGATAAACCAAGCTGGGTTAACAATAAAGTCCACAAGTCTTAATGAGACAAATAATGTATTCACCAAACTAAACTGTCTATTAATCTATTTGCAGGGTAAATTGTTGTAAATCGATTGTAGTTGATAACAAGAATTACGTTCCAAGACTAACATTTACTGATTGATGAAAATTGAGTAAACTGTTCAATCTATTATGGATAACTTGAAGCCGTCATTTTTCACTCAATTCATTCATCTTTCATGGTCACACAGAATTTTATATTTTCATCTCTTCTTCCCTTGTCTATCTCCACTTCATCATCACCCTCATCATCATGATCATCATTATTCTTCCTTTTGCTATTATATTATGTATAAATAATCTTTTACGATAAACATTGTCCTCAGTCTTTTCGTTTTTTTTCAATTCAAGGGAAAGAAGAAGAAAGTTAAAGATGAAAACAAATCAGAGAATCCATTTACTCTGTGATGTTATCGATGATAAAGCTCATGATATTATATCAACTGGAAACATGATTGAATATAAACAATGGAAGAATGAAGAATGAAAATAATCTAAATTAGCATTGAGTTATCATTAATTTCAGCCTTGGTTCATGAAACTGAGGTAAAAATGAAGAAACAAAAGAAAATGTTTCATCACTTGAAGTCACTTAAATTGATGAAAATTGATAAATTGTGAAAATGCTGAAAATCGAAAAATGTCATTTTCTAATTACAAGATTGACTTTTCCAAGAATCATCGAGAATATAAAGTTGCAAGGTTTGATATCGAACCATTGATGGAAAAGCAAATGGTTAATTGATATTGAACAGGAAAATAATGGATGAAAGAAATGATGGAAAGTCATCAAAAATTATTAGACTTGGGTTCATTGATTTACACCACTAATTAGGTTCAATATCTGTAAACTGTAAGTGAAGGCAACAGAGAAATTCATTCTCATGATCATCAGATTCTTAGCTCATCTTCATCATGCTCATTACTCCTTGCATTTACTCGGTAACAGGGATTGTAATAGCTGATAGAAATGATGAAAAAAGTAAAATCAAAAGTAAAGATTAAAGTCAATCATATTGATGGTTATTCGAGTTTTTTGGGCAAAATTTTATCCTCATCTGATTATCTTGGTAACGTGTTTCTGATTGAAGAATGAAAAGTTTTCTTGCAAACTCATCCAGAGTCTGGACGATTCAGCGCAGTAAATGAACCAAAGTAAACCTTTCTGTTATTATCCCTTCATTTTACTCCCAGTTTCAGCTGACAGTTGAAAGGAGGAACAACATTTGATGACAACATTTCTTTTCTTTCCATCTTCATCTTGAAACCTCTTGAAAAGCAACCCAAATGCAACTTACCAAGTAAATGTTGGAAACCAAAATTTTCCCATCAAAATTCAAACCAACAAATCTAATCAAACATCCAATTTGTGCTCTTTTTTTACACCAACAAATGTTGATTTATTAAAAACCTTGTGAACCTGAAAATGTGAAAATTCAAAGTTTCTCCTAAAATCCAACCAAACATTTCAATTGATGTAAAGTTGAATAATTATACTTTTCAATCAACCTTTTCCCTCATCATTACAGCTTGATGTTTCAATATCATCACAGTTTTACACGTAATTGTTGTCGTTTCAACCATTTAATCAATTGTTATTGAAGAGCAACAAAAACAGTTCCAAAAAAAACAGAGCAAACTATTGATATATTTTATTGGAAACAAAATGATGATCAATTTCAAAACAAGACTTAGATTGATGTCTTTTCCTGATAAGTTGTGACTATTGTCATCATTTTGTTTGTTCAACTCGAAAACCTTTATCTTCATCTTTTCTCCTTCCTCAACCTTTCTCATCCTTCCTTTTTCCCTTTCATCATTATCATCACCATTATCATCATCATTTCTTCCATCAGATTTATTCCTAGTTAAACTTGTCTAACTTTACCTAAAAGCCGGAGCGATTGAAACAAGATAATTCACCTTTCAAACCCTAAATCAAGTTAAACACTTTAAACCTCAACTTTGCTCATTCAACACGTTTAAACACCTCAACATTGAGTTGTATTATTAGCTAAGGATAAGCAATTGTTAGATTGATTTACTTTTGCCATTTAGTAATGAAAGTCAAGGGAAGGACTGAAAGTCGTTTAAACAATGTTTCTATCCAAATGTGATTTGATATTGTTAAACATGATAATAATGATGATGATCAAATTGAATGGTCAGTAATGTACCAAGTTTCCCTTAATCCATCAATTCTTGTCCTTTTGGTTCCCTTGTTTGTCCAATTGTCCAACCATTTAAACCATTTATTATCTTGACTTTTAAACCTCTAATGATGTCCAGTCTTCAATCAACTGTATTACAATCTTGACACAGTTCTTTATGAGCTTTACTCGCATCTTTATTCAACTCCATCATCAGTGTTCATCATTTACATTTGTGCTTCTTTTTGCTGTGCAAGTTACAAGTGAATAAAAATAAAGGTTTCAAGTGCTTTTGGTTCAAACCAAATTGAAACTTCAATTCATTTCAATTGCAAAGGAAAGGAGGAAAAAATAGATTTCACTTTTTTTGCTAAGTGATTCAAGTTGGAAAAGATATGAATCCAAATCATTTAGTTGTCCAATCGAAAAGATCGTCATGGTTAAACAGGGAAAAAGCAATGATTAAGTGTTTTATTTTCAATTGCATTCATTTCTACAGACAATCAAGTTTCACCTTTACCAATGTTGAACATGTTCGAGCAAGAATATTGTCGCTTCTCATTGTTTTCACATTGTTCAACCCATTGTGCCAAGGTGTGAGTGGGTCAACAATGAAACAGTCAAGTGATCGTCGTTACAGTTCCAGAATAGTCTCAACCAAATATGGTACTCTAAGAGGTTTCATCGTCAACTTGTCTGGTAAAATAAACCTTCAACCAGTTGAAGTTTTCTTAGGTAAGACTTAATCGAAGAGAATGAAAAAATGTCACAACTCGATCTTTCCTAGCTTTTCACCATTCTATTTTTACTCGAGTAAATTGCAAAAAACTTTTTCTCACCAAACTTTCAAACTTGAAAATTTATCGCTTTCCTTCAACTATCAACTATCATGATTTGATGAATGCAATGGCGGGATAAATTGATGAACAAACTGATTCGAGATAATGATTGATCGATGAAAATATTTTTGCAAATGTTGATTAAACAAGTGCAAAGGATTCGATTTTTTGGAGAAAATTTCAATTCTTCAATTTGCTTGCATTTCTTGAGTTCAATAATCTTCTTGTTCGACATTTTGTTTGCTCATTTTCCTTGATTATCTTCTCGATCATCATTGTAATGAAATTTCTCGAGTAAATGTTAATTCAATTTAGATTTTTAAACATTCTATTCTTCTATTCTATCAAGTTAATCAAAGTAAAAGTTGATGTAAATTGAGTTTAACTCTTTACCATCTTCTGTTTATCCTGATTACACCTTTAACCTCACAGGAATTTTCCTCAATGATTTTAAATTGGGAATAAATTTTGCGCTTCTCTTAAACTGATAATGATCATCATTATCATTATCGATTAACTTTATTATCCAAAGTAAATGATGAGCAAAGTTTAATAGTGAAAAGCATTACAAAAACATTAGCTGACACAATTTGCTGTTTACCCGAATCAAGGTTGATACTGGTAAACCCAAGGAAAAGGATAACAAACAGAAGAACCCAAAAAAATATCAAATTATATCTCATTATCAAAGTTGCATTTGACAATTCAACTCCCAGTTGAAGAATGCCATAAAAACGGACAAAAATGACTTTCCATAAATAATCAAATTTACAAGTCAATGGAACAACAATTTAATGGATAAAATTTGATTCGGAAGTAATTATCATATTAAGTGAAATCAATGTTCCTCTTTGACTTGGCCAATATTGTCTTAACATTCAACTCAACTCAACATTGAAAGGAAATTGACTTCAGTTCAAAAATAAATGATTAACTGAAAAGAGAAGAGCGGAAAATATTAAAATGGCAGAAATATTGAAACATGAAATTCCAAGAAAAGAAATTCCATTTTATCTCTTTTCATAGTATCACTCATCAACTTTAGCATGATGATGATGCAAATTGATTTGAGGTAGAAAAGTAAAGTTGATTGGTTGTAAGAAAAAGATGAAAAGATGCAAAAATTTGGTGAACTTCAACATTGGAATTATATTATCTATTGAAGCCATTGGGAGTAAAACCTCCCAGTCTCGACTCTTGTTCAACTGTTTAACTTCAATTCATTATTGATTCTCATTGTTATCATTATTATCACTGTCATTACAATTACTTTTTGCACAAAATTTATTATCACATCATTTCGAATGCTATTAATTTCTTCTCTCGCTTTTTTCACCATTAAATGTTTCCACTTTTTCCTTTGATGGCAACTTGATTAGTCTTGAAACCAGTTTTACATCCAAATCAAACCCAAATTGTTATCAATGTTAATGTCAAATTATTATTCATACGAATTGCAAGTTTTCACTCTTTTCCCCTCAAACTTGAAAGCTAATTGAAGTAAACGTTTTCCTTCTGTTTACTTTTGTTTATTAGTATTTAAAAAGATTCAGATTTTACTTCATTATCATGATTATCTTTTCCAATGAAATGGTTGAAAGGAAAACAATCGAAACACACAGAAAATTGGTTTCACATTCTAATGCTAATCAAGTCAATTTGCATGAGAAAAGAAGAAATTTTCAACTTTTTTCTTCTTCTTCTTCGATAAAATGTCTTTTGAGAATGGAAAAATGTTGAAGCAAAAAAATGGTAAACTTTAATCAGATGATATTAGTTCCGTTCCATTTGATTTTTGTGGTTAACAGTTTCAATTATCAGTTTGTCAGTTTAATCAATGGAAGTTGAAATTTATTTAGTGAGGAAAAAAGTAAAGGAAAGATTGAGAATTTTTTTTCGATTTTAACCAAATTTTCTTTGATGTTTTTTCCTCAGGTGTACCATATGCAAGTCCACCCGTTGGTAAATTGCGCTTCATGCCGCCCGTGACTCCGGCTCATTGGAATGGAGCCAAAAGTGCTCACAGTCAAGGCCCTGTTTGTCCTCAAAATTTGCCCAACATTTCAAATACAAGTGAAGCCTTGAAGACAATGTCGACCGGACGATTGCGAACCCTTAAACGACTCATTCCTCTGTTGCTCAATCAAAGTGAAGATTGTCTTTATTTAAATATTTTTACACCTTATTCAGGTAAGAACTAAATTTTTCAGTAAATTTGAAATTCTCAGCAAACACACAATCGAATCAAAAAGAATGGAAAAAGTTTGTGTGAAAAAAAATTGTCATCGAGTTTAATCAAAGATTAAAATTTCAAGTTTGTCTCAATCAATAATCTTGTTGATTTATGTTAAAGTCATTTGAATATATTCAATTGAATCTGAAAATGTCTTTATTCAATCAGATATGGCAAAGTCACAAAACTCATGTTTAAATGCAAAAAGTGTTCAATTTTTATCCTTCAAATGCTGCTAAATGTTCAATGACATTTGTTTAGCTTTTCTTCCCAGTTTTTCATTAAATAAGTGAATCTTTTTTATCTGTTGTTGATGTTTCTTCTGAAACTTTGTTACCTTGTTTTGTTTTGTTTGACAATAATCAAAAATAATCATGACAATAATCAAATTGAAGTTGCAACTTCATCTTTGCTTACTCTGTAATCTGTAAATAAATCAACGTCAAGTTAAAGTTGTTTAAAATTGGTTGGGTGAAGAAGACGAAGAAGAAGAAGAAGAGAAAAAAAAAAGTTTTCCTTCTCTTTTCTCAACACTTTTTCAACTCAATTTGAAACACACAAAGTGACTGATTATATTGGCGTTTTAAGGTTAAACCCAGACCAGAGGAAAACAGTAAAAAGATGCTTTTCAAATGATCAAATTTTATAAAGCTAGACAAAAGAAGAAATTGAATGACGAAAAAATAAATTTCATGAGCCATTGGATATTGAGATGGAAATGAAGCGATCGAAGAAAAAAAATGTTTCAAATCCAAATGTTGATTGAAATAAATGCATCAGTTTGAATACAAAGTCGAAAATGAAAGCTTAAGAAACTCGAAAGATTAAAAGTCAAGAAAAAAGAACAACTTTTTTTCTGTTCGAAATGCAAAGAAACCCAAACTTCAAAAGTCATTTCAAATTTTCGAATAGAAAACAAATGGAAAAAAGGAAAAAAAATAATCCCGATTAGTGATTCGATAGTTCTTATTCTCATTAACCAAATGTAATACAATTGGTTCGATATTATTTTACAATCATTCATCATTACACTTGCGAGGTCACTTGATTATCAAGAGAATTGAAGTTCATCTTCGAGTTATTTAGATAAGTCGAAGACAAGAAACGATCAAATTATGTTCATCATTATTTGGAAGGCAAGTCGAGTCTCCAATTGAAGGTTTATTATTACGATAAACATATTTATGTAATGCATTTATTACAATGTTATTGAACAACATCTTTTTTCTTGAGCAGGAATCAAAAAAAAAGGAAACTTGAAGAGAGCAAAAGTAAACCTAAAACTAACAAATTTACCATTCAAAGGTTGACAAAGTTGAAAGTGATAGATCATTGAACATGGTAAATCAATGAATATATAACATGATTTATAATAAGAGTTTGCACGAATAAAGAGAAGAAAAAAATAGAAAAGAAAATGTTGAAAGTTCATTTTGTCTGGTCCCAAGATGGATTATTTGTTGGTCCTAAAAGTAACGATAAATGATAATCTTGAATGATAATCTTGAGAAAAGAGAAAAATGTTGAATCGTTTTTTTGTGTTCATTTGTTTGTTCCTTGTTCCAGGGTAAAGAAGAAGAAGAAAGTTTTTCTGTCAACAATTTTTTCTTCTTCATCCCTCATCAGACTCGTCATCATCAATATTTCAAACTCAAGATTGACCCTTTTCCCGTTAACTTTTATAGCTTTCATTGCAATTGTAATGCAAAAGTTTCAAACAAAATGTTGTTCAAACTTTGCGTTTGTCTTGGAAACCTTTTAACTCTACTTTTTGTACTTTTTTTCATTTCTCGTTTACTTTATCTTCTTCTTCTTTTTATCATCATTATCTTGCCTTTTCTCGTATTCATCTTTTGGTGATACTTTTGTTGATTTAAGGTATCATCATGATCATTGGATGGAAAGGGAATCAAGAGTAGGGAAAAAGGAATCAAAATTTTACCCTGTGATTGATGAATTGTTGTTCATTCGTTATCCATTATGTATTATTTGCTTTCAAAGTTCCAATTGCTTATTCAGATGAAGCAAAGAAAAATTGAGAATTTTTGTTGAAAGAGAAAAAGAAAAATTTCTTCAATTTCAGCAATCTCAAGTCCATGTGAATGAGGACAAAAAGGAGGAAGAAATGATGTTTGCTGAATCAAGTGAATCAATGTAAATGAAAAAAACTGATTGACTTTTGATGGACTCGAGTCTGGTTCAACTGATAAACTTTCATCAACAAATTCAAATAATGAAAAATAATTTTCTTTCAGCTTCAAAAATCTAATGATATCGAACCGAATGCTAGTCTGTTCAAAGATGATCGATAAGAGATGAACTTTTTTCGCTAATCTTTTGAAATATTTAGAGTTCGACTTTTAGTTGCAGTGAAGTCTTATGTTGCAATTTGCAAGGTATTTCAAGTGTTATCATGAGATTGAGATTTCAGAAATTCTCATGTTTTTGGAAAGTGGAAGCAGTTGATATTGAGTAGGAAAAGTGAGGATCAATTGAAGAGATTATTTTTGTCTTTCTGTTTACAATTTGATTTGTTGATAAATTTGCTCATTTCTTGTTTGAGTAAAAGTTGACCGAAACTGGTCAAAGGTTTGTCCAACTGTTCGAGTTGATGAGATTGATCTTGATAATTTCGCAATTGCAGGCAAAAAGATGTGTTCAACTATAAAAGGAAAACATCTTTTCCTTATCGAAAGCTTTATCGTTAATGCATTGGCAACTTTTCTGTGTGTTCAGTGTGACACTTATTATCGAAACAGAAAAAAACTGTTTTCCAATTCAATGGATCATGACAAAATGGTGCGCGATGGATTAAGATAATGGAAAGAAATTGAACAAATGTGAAAGAAATTGATTCGATAGAATCAAGGATTTATTCAGTTTCATCTGCAAAACCCAGCTTCAAGTGAATCTTTTCATCCCAAAATGCTGCACAGAAAAAAAAACTAAGAAAAAGAAGAAACTATGAAATTGATTTGGACATTTGAGTCGAGACAATTTTCACCTAAAAAACCAGAATCAAACCTTCAATTGTTATTCAAAAACCAAGAAAACCAATCGAACTGAATATCAAAGAGTTTGATTAGCAATCATAATCTTTACATCAACACTCGATAAGAAACAATTAGAAAAGAAAAGTTGTCTTCGAAATAATCCCGAAAACAAGCTTAGAGCACCCCAGGAGTCGAGATCAATTTCATGGGAAATGTTGAGGAAAATGTGAAAAAAATAATTTCTACTTCATTTATATCAATTTTGCTTTTTGTTGGGCAAAGAAGAAAAAACGAAATCAAATCGATCACAATTGTTGCCAGAAGCTTCGTCATTTGTAATCGCTGGAAAAGTGAATAATTGTTGTGTCTGAATGTTGTCGCTCGATCAAGAGTTTTATTACATTGTGTTGCAGTGACAAAGAGTTTGCTTTGATTAAGGTCACTCTTGTCCAGTCTTTATACCCATCATTCTCATGATAATACCAATTTTACTCTTTTTTCCCTTTTCCATCAAAATCTTTCTTCTTTTCCATCCTTCTTTCTTGTGACCTTTTCACAAATTATAAACCCTGACTGTCTATCATTCATAACTCGAACAAGATTAGAATTGATCATTTTCATTATATCATGACTTCATGTTGACCAACCAATTGTGAACCCATGTACTCTTTGAAATGGAGACAAAAAGAAATCTCAATCATAATCTTCTTTCCTCATTATTTTTCACCTCACCATAGCATTCAACATTTTTCCTTTTTTTCCTCTCTTCGACCTTCTGCCATTTGAAAAGTTCAATTTTTCATCTTCATCTTCATCCATTCTTGATGCATCACAAGAGGCAAAAGTAAGAAGCATTGAGAGAGAGAGGAAAAAAAGGTTTGAACAAAAGAGTTAATCAATTGAAAAGTGAAAAATTAATGTCTTTGAAAGAGAAGCAGAAAAAACATGAATTCTTACATGATTATGTCAAAAATGGGGTAAACTCTTCTTTCATAGAATTAGGTTGAGTATCAATTTTAAAATGAAAATGAACTTTTGAAAAGGACAGAAACAATATGATAACAGTTTGATAAACAAATACAAGGCTCATTTTGCAGAACTTTTTTCTTCACTTCTCTCAACATTTTCAACAACTTTCGCTTTTTTTGTCCTCTTCTCGGCACTTTATCATTTTAACCTCTTTTTATTGGTACAAATTAATATCGTTCATTTTGCAAGAATTTTTGCTTCTCCATGAAAAAACTGGGTAAAGTTGAATTGGAAAAGGTTGGCATAAATCACGTGAGATTTTTTTCTCTCTATTTCATTGAAATTACATTGTGACATGAGAATCTTGTAATAATGAGATGAAAAATGGGAAGACAAAATATTTTGTAAATTTCATCAAATGTGATGCTCTTAAAAGGATGGTTAAGTGGCCAAGTTATTGTAATCAAGTTTTTACTTGGAATGAGAAGAGCATTTTTCACTCTCGCATTTAATCACAATTATGCCAAGAGAAATCAACTGCAAGGGTAAATTCATTCTTTTTCAGAACCAATCTATTTTTGGAAATTTTGTTCACAATTCATCACTCTTGATGACAGTCAATAGAGCATTTTGTGAAAAATTCAATTTATCCATAAATCTTTACGAAGTGCATCAATTGAAGTTTGGAAAGGCGCTGGTCAATAAAGGGGAAAATTTTATTTACTCAGAAAATTTACTTTTTAGTAACTTGAAGAGTTTATATTGCCTAGAGATAAGGCTTTTTCAACTCCTAGTTACTTGTGCTTCGAAATTACGCCAAAGTTCTACTGACCCAACTACTTCAAGGGTGAAAAAAGGAGAGGAATAAGCAAGAGATTTTGTTTTTTTCGAATCAAGTCTGCTTCCAAGAGCTGCAACAAGTCAGCTTAGCAAGTTATCGCTTAGGAATGACTTTTCTTATGATTGGTTCCACATCGCTGTCTAGCTAGATTCAA